TCATATTTTTCCACACTGTCCCTGACCACAGGCAAGAGCTCCCCAAGAACCTCTACAAACACACCCAATTTTTCCTTTCAAAAGTTTCCTCCAAAGCTTCCTTGCTATCATCTCCCAAAATCTCAGCAAATACTCCGGTGGGATCCTGACAGCACTGCCTATCACACTAGGAAGTACCATTTCTAATCCTTGTACTTTCACGCTAGGAAGTACCATTTCTAATCCTTGTACTTTTCTATTTGTCTGTCCATTAATCTGATGCTTAGCCTTCCATTTGTTCCTAGTATACATTCTTTTCTTCCTATGTTTATGCAGTATTTAGTATTTAGCACAGGGGGTTTAATGCATTAGCATTAAACCACCTGCACAATAGATAAACGTCCTGCAGTTATGCACCTTCTACTGAAATTTCGCAAGAAAAGAAGTGGCATCTTAATTACTGTTCAATATTTCAGTAAAAATCCTTCCCTCAGAGCGATCCAGTCATGTGGGCTCCAGCATGTGGAGATGCAAAACAGCTTGACAGCATTTATGTGTGTTTAATTTCATGTTTCTGTTAAATGCAGAACTTCCACGCTCTTCTATTTCTTAAAATGAAAAAAAAAAAGACTTGTAGCAGCATCAAAAGTGTTACTGGATGACCAATATCTGTTGCTATCTGCTAATATCTGTTACCACACCGTTGCTGTGTGTAGTTGCTGTGTAACTACACTGCAACTTGACATGGGAATCGCAGAATAACTGAGATTCTTGAAAAAGGAAATCTCATGAGCACGTATTCACCACTTTATGGGACTGACTTGTATGTGTAGTCACTTCTCCGACACAGGAAGAACCTACAGGGTCCCAAACATGTCCTTCCAGTTGCTAAAAATAAGTAACCAGGAGGAATGAAAGTATATGGCCTGGTATGCATAGTGATTTAAAGTTGGCTTTCCAAGACAAAGTGTCTAGATTAAATAAGAAAAGTAAATCGTCTAAAATGACACCAAAAGCTAGGTTCAACAAGCACAAAAGGGTTTGCAGTCAGTTATAAATAAAAAATGTAATTAAGCTTCTTGAAACATAGGCATATTGCATTATTTTCAAGGGAATTGAAAATATTTGGGACTTACTTATTCCTGCAGTGTATCATGTAATATTCCAGCAAATTCTCCTGCATTATAACTCTGAATCTTAGCTGAATATTATAAATCTTTTTTGAATAGCCTTGCTCTATAGCTAAAGAAGTATACTATGAATGTCAGCAAAACTGTCTGCCTAAGTAAAGCTATAAATAAATAGATATTGCTTCAGTTCTACTTTTCAGACAATATGGTAGGAGAATATATACACATATTCTCAATGTAATTTGATTTCTTCAAATATTTGATGTATTACCTGGACATGTAAAGGTAAAGAATGATTTACTATTACAATTTAATTAAAAGTGTTCTGAAACCATTCCAAATGTACAACAGAACATAGAAAAAAAAAAGTCAAGAATAAAAATGATAGTATGGCATCACTTTCACATTATTTTAATCAATATATCATTGTCATTAGCTACAATTTTCCTTTTCCCTAAGTGTTTTTCAGAACTGAGGCCAAAATGTATCCTTTGAAATGCATTTTCAACTCACTGATTTGCACGCCAGGCTTTCATGGCCACTGTGGTTGCAATTGCATCAGGGGTTGCACAGTGCTGCACCTCCTGCTATTTCGGACAGCTTAGAGCAACATGTGATTAATTACTTCCCCAAGGGACATTTCAAGGTAACTCTAGGTGAAGCATAGTGAAGTTTTTCCCAGCTGATATTTGACCACAACTTCACAGGTCACCACCACCGTGTTATAAAGARCTCCTTAAGGCCTATAATGACACAACACTGAGCAATGTGGTTTTATAAATTAATCATTTGGAATGAAAATATGCAAAAGTTAAGGGAAAAAAAAGTTAAGGAAAGTTAAGGAAGATGAAATTTAAAATAAGGTACAAAAATATACTTATCTGTATATTCCTTTCTTCAGAACCTTAGGATATAAATTACATCAATAGACTCCTTTTATCTCTGAACTTTATCATATTTGTATAATATAAATTTGGCTACAGTATTATTTTTTTACGTAACAGATGACCAAGATCTTTATTGTCAGAAGCTTTTAAAAAATATGTATGTGTATTTACCTACGTGTGTTTAAACATATTAGATGCATAGATATATACTCAATATATTAGATATTTAAAGTAATACAAACTAGGCTGGTTTTATAAGAACTATCAAGTAATAAACAAAATATCATTGAGAGAAGTAAATCATATTTCTCTCTCAGTACAGAGAGCAGTAAAGCACAGGATTCACAACAAGCTGCTGGTTGTACAATCTCAGTGTAGTTAACATTAGGTGGCTCATACTGCCTATGGATTGCTGTGCATATTCAATACTTTCAGTTTAAGAAAAACATCTCTGTGTCTACAAGACAATAATTTAGTAAAAGGAAACCATCTCTTCCTTGCCTTTGTAGTTAAATAACCGCTAATTGTCTTTCTGTTTGTTTAATTGTATGTGTAAGGATGATATTAGAATAAGGATGATATAAGGATGACATAAGAATACAAGAATTGTATGTCTAAGGATGATATAAGAATACATGGTGCATAATCATTTATGATTTATGCAAAAGGTTTATTTATCATAGAATAAATTTCATGAGATGGGACAAAAAATGGAAACCTTATTTTGGCAAGTATGGAGTCCTACTATASCAGCTGGTCATGATATATGATGTGTTTGTTTTGGAAAGCACTATTCACCTCGGATGAAATATATGAAAACTCTTTTTTTTTTCTTTAGAATTTCAGCCTGCTTCTTTCCCCTAAATCTCGCTGTCTTGCCTTGTACTTACATCAAGTGATATGACATTCCATGAGCTTTCACATGCAGGATTAACACCGAATTGAATATACAGAGCTGAACTGTGGAACTGAGTTAAAGGTGCGTAGCCAAGTAAGTGCCTGGTCATCCAGACACTTCAACATGAGCTATTTCATGCATGTAAGCGACAAATTGCCTTAATTCCCAGTGTGAGAAAAACACACTTCCCTGGAAGCGATAYGTAATTCTAAAATGACATGATTTGATGCCACAAGGGAAAGTACTCTTAGGGAGCAGGCCGCCTTGTAGCGTTTATTTCTTGTAACATTTAAGTTGTATTTGTGGAGAATAGAGGCCTTAAAACTCCACATTGGTCCAAAGTTCTTGTAAATAAAACTATAATCACTGAGATTAGAGGGGTAATATTTTCTACTTCTTTTTGTGCATGATACAGTACATTGGGTATTGTAATTTTCATATTTTTCTTCAGAAATTAAGTAGGAGAATTAATTTGTTTTATTTGTGGGACTTTCAGTAAAGTACAAGAGATAGGAGTCTACATATACAAAATGCATTTGAAAATTGGACACATTTTCAAATGAACACCTTTTAAATGCACTTTTTGTGAAGAGTTCTAAAAAGAAATATTTTTATTAAATCATGAATTTGAGAAACAAGTGTGTATATATATAGTATTTGAATTGAAGCTGCTTTTAACTCCTTTATGTTTTCATTTTTTGAAAGAATTGAAATCAAATTGAAATCATCAGTGTGTTTTAAAATTGTGGCAATTATATATATATATATATATATATATATATATATATAAAAACACTATATTCCTGTTTCTAGCAGGCCCCAAAATTGGCTGTACGAAGAAATGCAAGCTAGGTGAATGAAAAAGTTTAAGTAACTTGCCAACTGAAGTTTGTCCTTGAGTTAGTGGAATTTCCATATTGCAATAGGAAGTATGTCTTGTGTTTAAYGTAAAACAAGCCTTGATTCCAGTCCCTTTTGTCAGAGATGCCTCTCCTTCCCTCCTTTCCTTCCTTCCTTCCTGGTCTGTCTCTCTTCCCTGTCCCGGTTGTGGGAACCACATTCCGCCTGCTGTGTGTTAGTGCTGCTAAACGCGGGTAAAAATGCCCGGGAGCCGGGAGGCCCAGCACCCACAGGTGGCTTTTCCAGGGTGTGGGGAACCCTGTGCCTGGAGCGGGCCCGTACTGCGGCTGGGGAGCACAGGCAGCCGGTGCCGCGGATGCTGCTGCGCATTGGGGTTCAAAGCCCATGCGTTGGGGTTCAAAGCCTGCGTGTTGGGGTTCAAAGCCTGCGTGTTCGGGTTCAAAGCCCGCGTGTTGGGGTTCAAAGCCCACGCGCTGGGGTTCAAAGCCTGCGTGTTGGGGTTCAAAGCCCGCGCGCTGGGGCGCAGCGCCAGCCCCTGCACCGGGTGCTGTCTGCAGGCCCTGCCACGCGTGCGTTCGCTGCAGGCACCCCAGGGACCCGTGTGCTCTCAAGGGGCCAGGCTTCCCAGAGGGTTTGCTGCCCCCGTTTTGCTGTCAGCAAACGCGGACGCCYGCTCTTAACCAGCGGTGGCGGCTGCTCCGCTTGCCGCTCTCGCTGTGACCTGCCGCGCGGCTCCGCAGCGAACTCGGCGGCTTCGCAGGTGCTCTGGGCTGCTCCCGCACCTCGCCGGGGATTTCACTGTAGGAGTGAGAAGGAAAATGCGAAGAAGGGAAGGGGATTCCTGGAGGGGGCACCCAACACGCTCGCGCGGGGCGGCGCCGGGTCCCGCCGGGCAGGTACCGGTAGCGGTACCGGTAGCGGTACCGGTAGCGGTACCGGTAGCGGTACCGGTAGCGGTACCGGTAGCGGCGCTGCCCCCCCCGCGGGCGGGCGGGAGGCGGCCCCGCCGCCGCGCGCAGGGAGGGAGGGCGGGAGCGGGCGCTGCGGCGGCGACTTTGCTCTTTAAATCGGTCTCAGAGCGGATTAGGGCCGCGGTGCCACGTGACGCGGCGCGGGCTCCCGGCGGAGCCGCTCGGCGCCTCTCCCGCCGGCGGCGCCCGTCGGGGCGCGCACGGAGCGCGGCCCCGGCCCCGGCTCCGGCCCCATGGGCGGCGCGGCGGGCGCGCCGTGAGCGCGGCGGGCACCATGCAGAAGAGCGTGCGCTACAACGAGGGGCACGCGCTCTACCTGGCGCTGCTCGCCCGCAAGGAGGGCACCAAGCGCGGCTACCTCAGCAAGAAGACGGCCGAGACGAACCGCTGGCACGAGAAGTGGTTCGCGCTCTACCAGAACGTGCTCTTCTACTTCGAGAGCGAGCAGAGCGCCCGGCCCGCCGGCATGTACATGCTGGAGGGCTGCAGCTGCGAGCGGGTGCCGGCCCCCAAGGGCGCCGCCGCCGGCAGCGCCAAGGACGCCGCCGCGCTGGACAAGCAGGTAGCGCCGCGCCGCCCCACGGCCGCCTTCCCGGGAAAGGGGGAGAGGGCGCAGGAGGCGGCGGCGGGCGCGGGGCCCGCTCCCCACCCGCGCCGGCGGCTGCTGCCCCTCGCGGGCGCGACTGGAGGAACACGGAGGGGCTGGCTGGGGGGATCTCACCTTGGGGGGGACGGGACGGGACGGGCTGTCCCAGGGCAGGAGCCGCGGGGCGCCCGGCCGCGGGGCTGCCCCGTGCGGCGCCGCCCGGCCCGAGCACCGTGTGAGGAGAAGGGAGCCGAATTAACTCGCGCTAGGCGCGGACTAGGCGCCTTGGCGCGSGCCTCTGGATCGCAGAGCGAGCCGCGGGTCTCGCTTACTGCCCTGCTGCGGTTTGGGTGGCTGGCAGGCGCTAACGCGGCGCCCTGGCTGCGGGGAAGGCAAGCGCGCGTCCCGCTGCTGGGGAAAGTTTGGATCGGCCCGAGGGGTTCCCAGGGGATTTCCTGCTGAGTGTGAGCGCGGAACGTACCTAGGCCGGTGTAGGAGATTCATCGCCGCTGTAGGTGGGACCAGAGTGATAACTTTGTTAGGAGAACTCACATCTTTGGTTCTGCCGTTCCTTACCCCTCTTTAAAACAAGTGCTYGGGCGCTTGAAGTGATACGTGATGAGCAAGTGAACTGCTGCGCGTCGCGGAGGTTGCACTTGCACCATCAGTCCTGTTGCTTTATTTTTCATTTTTATGGGTAAACAGTGATAATCGAAATAGAGACCATTCCCTAGGTCAAATTAAACATGAATATTTCTCCATCCCCTTTACAGGGACTCGGTATACTTGTTTATTGCTAGGATACTGAGAGAACTGTATGAAAACGGGGCTTTTCTGTATCCGTTCTTCTGGAATCTTACCTAGTGCTCTTGTAGTGATGAACGTTTGAGTTTGTAATTATATTTAGTGGTGCAAAGACAAAATAATTACAGGATAGCAAGCCGAATTTGCTTTCCCTTGAACATCCACTGTGTTTACTTTTTTTTTTTAATAGCAAGCTGCTATTAAAGAGGGAAAACACTGCGATATTTTTCCCTGAGATTCTGATAGAATGTTCAAGGCAGGTGAATGTTCAAGGGAGACCATTAAAAAATCTTTTTTTTTTTTTTTTTCACTGAAAAGCACTTTTTGCCTGATTCACAATCAACATGATTACTTTGTATAATTTTTACAAATGGTGACTCTTTAATAAAACCACACCATTGCTTTTATATTCATCCAGACGCATTGCGAAGGTGAATAGGAACCTCCCTCGCAGAGTAAAACTAATCAACAGTAACAAAAGTGAAAGTGTTTGCCAAATAATCAATGTAAAACTTATTTTCCTTTCTAAACAGAAATGTGGTCGTACCCTTGCAGGCATATAGTAATAAAATGTGAACTTTCAGTCTAATATCAGAGCTTAGCGTTCCTCTGTTAAAAGGAATCACATGAGAATGGAAGCTTAGTACTTTATAAATGTTAACTACTGACAGTATAAAATAGTGCTAGATTTATTTTTCCTTGATTTAACTACAAAAGTCAAGCAGGTAGGAAGTTGTGTGTCAATTTTTAAAGATTTAAAAAAAAAATTAAAACTCTGTTTTCCAAAAGGATCAAGTAAAAATAAGGTCTTTGAATTGTAACTACTTGGGAAGTTCAGGTGCCAAAATGATACTTTCTATGCAATTAAACAGTAAGGAAAYGGGAATGGTGACAGGTATGTGTTCAKGATTTGTTCATCATATCTTGCAGTTAAYTTTTGGTTTCTTTTGCTTAGGTCTAATTTTTCTAGGTAGCTCGGGGCAAAGCGTTTCAGTAGCTGTGGTGTCTGACAGGAGAAATCTGCAGTATTAGGAGTGTGTGATAAATACAGTACTGTGCATCAGAACTGTTGGACCAGCTTGAGAGGGCTACAGTTCAGGGTAACAGCTGGAGACTTCATGAATTGTTTTGTTATTGGTAAAGAATTTTCTTTTTAAGTTATTTTTCTCTGTATTCCATGGAAATAAGTAGAGAACAACCAACCAGAACTACAGGGATGATACCTGATGCACCCAGAGCTTTGTTTGGCTTTCAACAGTTAATCACAGAAGAGAGTCTCATCAGCTTCCTTTGAAAGGCTTTTTTGAGAAGTAATGCATTTTATTTAAGTGATATAACTGAAGCTTATGGAAGATGCATGCAGGGAAAAAAAAGTGTTTCCTAGCTTGCAGATCCTTTTAGTTGGAATTGCTTGATTATTCTTGTCACATCATATGTCAGATAAAAATTCTGTTCAAAGATCTTTAGCATTCATTGGCRGTGACTGTTGGAGATGCACTTCTGTGTACAGGAGATTCTGTCAGTCAACAGATGTGTTACATACAGAATTCCCAACACATGCAGCAATTGGATGACTTCAGATTTTGAACACTACTGGTGCTGTTATGTTCTCGTGGCAGCCGGCATGAAGAAACATTGCCAAAGCACAGGAACTATTTTGCGCTTTAATAGAAGATACCAAATTACTTTGTAATTTTTAAATTCTTAATATATTAATGCAATAAACAATGGAAACACTTTTTTTGTTCTTTACCTTCATATAYTTTTTAATTTTTTAAATTCTGTTTAAGTCAAATTCTTTCAAAATTGCAGTACCTTTTTTAAGAAAGTGTGTAGTATTTGAATCAGTTGATATTCTGGGAATATGGCATCAGATGAGGTGTGTTATAGCTCTTCATGATTTTTAGGAAGGGGTAATGTTTAAATAAAAGTGTATTGGTCAGGAAAATAAAGGTTTATTGACAGAACTACGATGTGGAAGTAGCTTATATTCAAAACAATTTAAACATGAAAGAATTGCACTTTAAAAAGTTTAAATTCTAATATTAGCTAAAATTGTTTTTCTGTGCATGAACATATAGACTCTAACCAGCTGTAGTTCCCAGCAAGTACTCCACAGTGCAGTGTTTTTGAGAATAAGTGTGAACTTTTCCTGGAAAATTCCAGGAATTCCTGGAAAGATAATGGTTTTGTATTAGTGAATGGAAAAATAAAATGTCTAAAAATTGTGCTTTTTGCAGTGCTTTATAGGGTATTGTTAAGTGTCTTTTTTTTTTTTTTTTAGTATTGGAAGAAGCATGTATGTAGTGGAATGTATAGCAGTATTTTTGTCGGTTTTAGGAAGGTGGGGTGTATGTGTAGCTTCTTTCATAACAGTGTGCTGAATACACCAAAATATTAAACTATAGCTATTATCGTAAAAATTGTCGTATGGTATTTAAGCTTTTATTTTGTGTGTGTGTGATTTGAGCAGAGACTATTCTGTCTTTGTATCTTGCCAACAATAATCTTCCTCCCACTTAGCAAAATTAAATGCAGTATTAAGTCTTTGTCCCCACAGATTAACAAAATCCAATTATTTGAATTTTTATGGCATCCTATGGCTCTATATTTATTTTATAAAGGACATAGTAAAAGGAATGTAAAGTCCCTTACAGTCCTTGAAAAGACGMGGAAGACGTATTCCACCCCAAAATTTTACCTCTCTGCCAATTATATGAGACTTTGTAGCAATACTTAGTCATTTTGTCTGAGAGTGTCATAACCAGTTAGAAATTACTCTCTTCATTATTACTGGGCCAGTAAAAACCAAAACTAGGCACTTTTTTTCTGAGCTGGCATCCTGTGCCTGATAGATGTTGTAGAAGGCTGATATTCCTACAAGAGCTTACCAGCTTTAGCTGGAGTGTGGTCCATAAATTTCCTTGCTTTTTGGTAAGGAACTGCCTGGGAGTCGGACACAGACGCCCAGGCTTCAGAAATTTCCTGCTGCGTTTAAAAGAGAAGAGATGGGTTAGTCTTGTGGGTGCCTGGGGCGTCCTTATGATCGTGCATCTTCTGCAATAGGTAACATACAATATTAATAGTGATATTGTTCAATTGAAAACATTCTTGGAAAGGATTTTTGATTTTTTTTTTATGGRCTAGCCTTAAAAAAGAAAACCTTAATTCAAAAACAAAAACCAACCAACCAAAAGGCCAGTAGGAAATGAAATATTAGTACTTTTGGGATGAGCATTCTCATGAAGACCCCTTCAGTGAGCGGGGTTCTTGTGTGGAGACATCCTTGTTTACTTTCCCTGGGGATTTCTGTCCCTTTGTGGCATTTGTGACTGTCATGAGACAATATTATGATTCTGTAAATATTAATACTTTGATTTAGATTGTTTTGAGATACATGTAGGGAATAAGCTAAAAGCTGGTTGCTGCCGTTGCTTTCCACTTCAGGCAAGCTGCGTTGAAGAGGATGCTCCTGACCCTTCWTGTAGAGCTTTCAAGTGAACTTATGGTCCCCTTTCTGGCCCTCAGCAACAGGCAAATATAAATAGAAAAGTATAATCCTTGTGATCTCTCTGTTGACTAAACTTTGCTCCTTAATACATGTTTTGTAATCTAGTGTTTACCTCTTTGCTTAGCAGTGGGCATATTTGGGGATATAAAAAATGAATAGGGAAAATAATGGGCAAATTTATTAGTGTTTTGCCAAAGCTTAAATATTTCCCAAAAATCTACTGCTACTCTTGAAATGTGTGTTTGTGTTAGTGTTGTGGAATGGTCTGTTTGCATGGATTAAAAAAAATATGTACATGCTTGGAAATTACACAAAATGAGTCCTGGGAGAKGTACACAGGAGAGAAATGAGTTACAGCAGAAGTAATAGGTTTTGGAGGCGTCTTTCTCATTAAAAAAAAAAAAATCCACATTTGCATCATTTGGAGGATATAGATGCCACTGAGTAATTTAATATTTAAACTTTGACTATCTTAATTCATGTCAAGGATCAGGAACTGGAGACTGGTTGGTTGTTTATATTCTTGAGGGCAGACGGCAACTGCGTATCTTGGAATAAAAAAAATAAATCAAAGAATGTGGGTGAATGTAGCAGGTTCAGATTTTGTGGAGACAAAGTATTATGGAAGAGAAACTAGAGAATGAAGTCTTTCCCATTTTTT